CTTGTATTTTAGATCCGATTTGCCAGTGTAGATTTGGAGCTACACACCAAATATACACCTGGTGGTTCAGAATCCATTTATGATGTTGATCAGAGAGTCTCAAGGACGACACAGGTGATCCCTCCATTACCAGAAGATAGGTTCCTTTGTAGTTTCAGCCACATATTTGCAGGTGTGCCCTCTCTCCTCCTTTATTATTATTATTTATTTATTTATTTATTATTATTTTTATTTAAATTATTTGTCATGTGTTTTTTATTTCTTTGGTTCAACCTTCGCCTGTGTTTGTGTTAATTTTCACTGGTGAATCTCAGGCGGATACGCGGCTGGTTACTACAGTTACAAGGTATAATTTATTGTGATTTATGATCCAAGGGTCCAGAAAACTTCGTGATTCAATAATTTCTGTACTTTTTCCTTTACATTGCCCATTGTAATGCAATATAAGACTCCTCATGGCTAATTTTGCAGTGGGCGGAAGTACTGTCTGCAGATGCTTTCTCGGCATTTGAGGATGCTGGGTTAGATGATAGCAAGGTATGTAGTTGAAAGAGCTGTTCGGTGCTGGTGTTAATGATGTTGGATTTGCCTTGCATTTTTGAGTGTGTGTGAGCATCTACACACATTTTAATCTTTTCTCATTTAATCCATAAATAACTGTGTATATTTGTATTCAACAGGCTGTTAAAGAAACCGGCCGGAAGTTCCGAGAGACAATTCTTGCTCTTGGGGGTGGAAAAGCACCACTAGAGGTTAGTCAATACAGACTTTATGATGAGCTACATATCTTCTATAGCCATTTTTCTTTTTTTCGTTGATTTTTTTTTATTAAAAACATTATATAACACGTATTCGTTACCTTGTGACTTTTGACATCATTATTTCTTTTCTCTTGAATGAGAATGTGTTAAGCGAATGCTTTTAACTATGTCATTCAGGTCTTTATTGAATTCCGAGGTCGTGAACCTTCACCAGAGGCACTGCTCAGGCACAACGGATTATTGCCAGTCACAGCCACTGCATGATTAAATATATGGTTTTAAATTTTAGTCCAGGGTCTTAAAATATTCTTTTAAAGATCCTAGTATGATAGCGATTCCATGCTAGTTTCAGTGGACTGGTCAACTGGGTATGCTTGATAAACATCCGCAGGCTAAGAATATGACATTTACGAAATGTTTGTTATTCCTACAATCACCATACCCAACGTTTGATAACAAGACAATGGTATTTTTTACTAACACAGAATCTGTGATTGTTTTACCGTGCACAAAGACTAAGATGAGAAAGGAATAAATTAATGACCTTTGAAATTATAAAGAAGATAGTCAATTTAAAACAAAATTTTGGTATATATTTTTCAGAAAAAAATAGTACCTTAACATTCTTTTTTTGTTTTTTTTGTCTCATATTCCCCTCGAATTTACCCTTAATCATTCCATCTAGAAATATTCTTTTCAGTATGAATTGATATTTTATTTTGTCATCTTGGACCTTAATATCAGAAGTATCATTAATAATTTTCTACGTTAAAGTTTCACTTGGAATTGTTATCCTTCGGCTACAGGTTTTTATCCTTTTATTCTCTTAAAAATTTATAAAATATTAATTAAAATTATTTAAAATTTATAAAATATTAATTTAAATTAATTAATTATGTATTAAATTTACATTTTTAGAAAATGTGTTGTATGAAAAACTATTGCACACAATAATACAAAATAGCGCCTAAATTAATTTATTTATGGCATTATTGATATTTAAACCCATATACGATTATGTTTATGAGTCTGGACTAAAAACATTTGATTTATAAGATTCTTAATTTATGCTTTGTTTTAGTTTAATTGTTTGGAAAGAACATATAGCTATTAATTGATCTTCAACAATTTCTAATACCATTATTTGTTTTAATAACTGATGATAGTTGTTACCTATGAAAGCGTAACCTATCTTTCTTTAGTTATTTAGTTTGGTTTTTTAATAAGAAAAGTATTATTCATATCAACTTAC